TAATAAACTGCTACAAAGATCAACCGGTCTGGCCCTCATCTCTTCCTTCATCTGCCCTTGGCCAACAGCCGTCCCGATGCAGGCCACACACAGCAGCTCTAGGGCACCGAACGCCGGCAGTGAGATAGAGCTGTCCAGAAAGCCTGCGAACACACAACCTTCAGCGTGCGTAGTTTTTTATACCTTGGCTTATAGTTAAGAACCATTTTCTGCACTATCCTCTTACACATACCTCACCCTGGGTTTCTAAGCAAAGATTCAGGGATGAAACAGGAGGTTTCATATATAGGTAGAATATATAGAAATTGTTCGATCAAGGAGAAATTATTAAAATAATAGGGTTTCAGGAAAGTTAAAAAAGTTCAAGGCAAGGAGTTAATCTTGGAAGGAGATCTTAAAATATTAGAAAATGAGATGATACAGGAAAAGCAGGGGTGAGGAGAATTTGTCAAGGCATCATCTAACTTTATGTTCCCCACAGATTTATTGCAAAATAACAGATTACCGAGGTGGAAAATGACAACAGTGCATAAGAGCACTAGAAGTTTAGAGAAAGAGACAAAATGATAATTGCTTTAAATGTTTATAGGGTACGTGATATCAATTTTAAGATTTATCTACTATGCTAGAATTTTCACTTGAACTTTAATTCTCTCTTTTTATTATTTCAGCATACCTAAAAAGTATGTACTTTCAGTCTCGTTCTGCAGATGGATACTTGTGTTCAGGACACAAACAGTAAGAAAAATATTTGAGTTTTAACTAAGATTACTCAAGAACCCACTGTGCGGGCCCTTTGAGTGGATGAAAGGTTTTAACCTCCTTATATTATATATAGATAGATATTATATACACATGTATTTGCATATATACATATAATTATATATACACATAATTATAAACTATATATTATACTTTATTCTATAAAATAAAAAGTACTTTAAAATTTTAGAATTTAGTTCCAAATTATTGCTTCCCTCTAGATAACATGGGCTTCTCAGTTTCTCTCTCTTTTTTCTCTCTCTGTTTCTCTCTTAAACATAGTTTTAATATGTGAAATAAATAGAAGCAGAATACAGTCCCCACCTATCATGTACTTAGTATAAAAAGACATGGAGATGTTTAACTCTAAAGCAAAAACTTGTTATAATATAGCTAGGTGTTCACAATCCCTACAATGCAGAAACCATAAATCTAAATAAGAAATGACAAAATCATGCAGTTTGCTGCTACTGGATGAATCTGAAGACTATTATGCTGAGTGACATCAGCCAAAAGGAGATGGACAGATACATCCGAGGGATATAAAACAGCAAAGGAAGGAAATAACAAATGACCCCAAACAACAGAACCTGTGAGCTGAGCTTATCATGATTGGAAGGTTGAGGTAAAGGTAAAGGTAAAGGTCCTCCCGTTGTTCATCCATTTGCTCGAACAGGCTCAGTAACGTCTCCTTTGCAAAAACAATAGCATAGGATATGTCACAAACAAAAAACAAGCAAAGAAATGTCCAGGGAAGAGTGCACATCAAAATTTTAGTTCTGCTTATATTTGACTGGTGAGTGTGAAATTGTATTTTCTTCATCTTGTTCCTTTTTTTCTTTCACATTGTCTGCAGGAACTTTTCATTTCATTTCATTTCATCATCCTGTTAATCGTCGATTGCCTCGAGCAGGCCCCAGTAACGTCTCTTTCATCCTAGCCCTGAGATTATATTCAGGGCTCTTTAGGAGAATGAGACCCATCATTGTTACTGGTATTTGGCATATTTGGTAGGCCACGGGGAGTTTGCCAGACTCTGCCCTGTGGGCAGGCTACATTCGACAGCCTGCAAGTTTGTCCAAAGTAGGAATGAGATAATAAGATGTCATAAAAAGATGTCCTGATAAGGTTCCGGGATCTGGATTTTATAGTCTCTGAGTCTTGGCCGCTGATGGGATTACACGGCGCCAGGGGGCCAGGTGGTGGGTGTGACCCCCGCCTACTGGAATTTGGAGGATCTGGGTGGAAGATGCTCGACTCCAATTCGAGTAGGCTTGGAGGTCTCGGCCCCGGAACCCGCGTGGCTTTGTCCCTCTGCCAGTACCTTCAGGTGTGCGGAGAGTGGTCTCAGCATGGTGGTGGCTGGTCCTGGAGGTCTCCGGCTGCCGTAGCCCTGGCCGGGGCGGGGAGGAAAGCTCAACCCGCTCCCCTCCAAGGGACTCCGGGAAGGAACACCGAGGAGCAGGGGCAGAGACTGCACTGCTCTCGTCCGGGATCTGGATTTTATAGTCTCTGAGTCTTGGCCGCTGATGGGATTACACGGCGCCAGGGGGCCAGGTGGTGGGTGTGACCCCCGCCTACTGGAATTTGGAGGATCTGGGTGGAAGATGCTCGACTCCAATTCGAGTAGGCTTGGAGGTCTCGGCCCCGGAACCCGCGTGGCTTTGTCCCTCTGCCAGTACCTTCAGGTGTGCGGAGAGTGGTCTCAGCATGGTGGTGGCTGGTCCTGGAGGTCTCCGGCTGCCGTAGCCCTGGCCGGGGCGGGGAGGAAAGCTCAACCCGCTCCCCTCCAAGGGACTCCGGGAAAGAACACCGAGGAGCAGGGGCAGAGACTGCACTGCTCTCGTCCGGGATCTGGATTTTATAGTCTCTGAGTCTTGGCCGCTGATGGGATTACACGGCGCCAGGGGGCCAGGTGGTGGGTGTGACCCCCGCCTACTGGAATTTGGAGGATCTGGGTGGAAGATGCTCGACTCCAATTCGAGTAGGCTTGGAGGTCTCGGCCCCGGAACCCGCGTGGCTTTGTCCCTCTGCCAGTACCTTCAGGTGTGCGGAGAGTGGTCTCAGCATGGTGGTGGCTGGTCCTGGAGGTCTCCGGCTGCCGTAGCCCTGGCCGGGGCGGGGAGGAAAGCTCAACCCGCTCCCCTCCAAGGGACTCCGGGAAGGAACACCGAGGAGCGGGGGCAGAGACTGCACTGCTCTCGTCCGGGATCTGGATTTTATAGTCTCTGAGTCTTGGCCGCTGATGGGATTACACGGCGCCAGGGGGCCAGGTGGTGGGTGTGACCCCCGCCTACTGGAATTTGGAGGATCTGGGTGGAAGATGCTCGACTCCAATTCGAGTAGGCTTGGAGGTCTCGGCCCCGGAACCCGCGTGGCTTTGTCCCTCTGCCAGTACCTTCAGGTGTGCGGAGAGTGGTCTCAGCATGGTGGTGGCTGGTCCTGGAGGTCTCCGGCTGCCGTAGCCCTGGCCGGGGCGGGGAGGAAAGCTCAACCCGCTCCCCTCCAAGGGACTCCGGGAAGGAACACCGAGGAGCGGGGGCAGAGACTGCACTGCTCTCGTCCGGGATCTGGATTTTATAGTCTCTGAGTCTTGGCCGCTGATGGGATTACACGGCGCCAGGGGGCCAGGTGGTGGGTGTGACCCCCGCCTACTGGAATTTGGAGGATCTGGGTGGAAGATGCTCGACTCCAATTCGAGTAGGCTTGGAGGTCTCGGCCCCGGAACCCGCGTGGCTTTGTCCCTCTGCCAGTACCTTCAGGTGTGCGGAGAGTGGTCTCAGCATGGTGGTGGCTGGTCCTGGAGGTCTCCGGCTGCCGTAGCCCTGGCCGGGGCGGGGAGGAAAGCTCAACCCGCTCCCCTCCAAGGGACTCCGGGAAGGAACACCGAGGAGCGGGGGCAGAGACTGCACTGCTCTCGTCCGGGATCTGGATTTTATAGTCTCTGAGTCTTGGCCGCTGATGGGATTACACGGCGCCAGGGGGCCAGGTAATATTAACTCCTGGGAATCTGCTTTCTTGACTCAGTTGCTCTTAGTTCCTAGCACCCCAAAAGCAGGGTCCTGATGAGGTCCCGCGGGCTGCGCGGTCTCGGCCGCGGCGGCGGCGGCGGTGGCGGCGACCCCCGCCGGGGTCATGATCCCCCCCGCCCCGGGCGGCTGCAGCAGGGGTGTCCGACCCCCCGGGGGGCCCGATCCGCCCGCGGCCCGCCGCTCTGGGGCTGGGGGAGCGCGGGCCCGGGCCCTCCTCTCCCCCCGCCCCCGCCGCCTCTCGGCGCGGCCACCGCCGCCGCTGCGAGCCCGAGCCCTCGAGGCCGGAGACCCGGCGGCGGCAGCGCGGCCTCAACTTTAATCTGTAATTTTTGAAATAGTCACTTATTTGCCTCTTCCCTACTGGCAAATATCATAAATTCCATTCCCCAGTTTATGTAACAAAGAGTCAACGTTATACAGATTCAAGCATATGAACTCTCATATGACCTATTGAGATAGTTACAAGTGAGTCTCCCTTGTCTTTAACTTACAGTAATTGCCTCAGTGTATTGTTTCTGTAGCCGTGCAGCCAGAGTCTGTGGGACTCCCACAGGATTGTCATCCCTGCTGCATAAAACAAAACCAAACAAGTACAAGATCGGAGATATGTGCACCTCATCTGGAGATGGAGACAGACGAGGATCAGCACCCTCAGAGGATAACACACTTTAGACAGGTGTACGTGTAAGTCTGGCCTGAAACCTGTCAGGGATCCCTCCAGTAGCTCATCTCCGGACGCTCTCGTTGCCTAGTTACAGAAACTTCCATCATCTCCGTCTCCACCTCCTTCTAGGCCACGCCTCTTTTTTTCCCCCTTTCTTCTCTTGGGCTGGGGCGGGAAGCTAAAACCTTTCAGCCACTCAAAGACCCTCATCAGCAGATCCTCGAACGATGATTGGCGCAGGGCAGGGGCGTTGCTTGGGGGGCGGGCCTTCCGCGCCCGGGGAAACGTCAGCACGTTGACGCGGGGGTTTCTATGGCCGGGTCCCGCTAACCGTGCTCGGGCTTGTGTGTCTGCGTCTTTAGTCGACTTGCCCCGGGCTCCGGGGGCGATCGCCGCGCGCTCGCGGGCCGGCGCGGGGAGCGGGGCTTGGCGCTTGGTCTGACCGCCTGCACCTTTTCCTGGCCTCTCCTTTGGTTTTATCTGTTTCGGAAGAGCCCTTTGGGGGGGATTGTTTTTCTTTTTCTTTTCTAAGTCGACGGAGGCCCCCGGGGTTCGGCCTGGGTCACTAGGGGCTCCATCCTCTCTCCAGCATCGAATGGGAGGCGGCAGGAGGAGCGGCCGGGGGTGTCCAGTCTGATGGCCAATTGCTGCAGCTGGTTCAAGCAGTGGCGGGAGCCCGTCAGGTAAAGCCAGAACCGGTTGAACTGTAGGGGACGGTGGGTGGCGGTTCAGGGACCGGCCGGGCACCGCCTCTCCCCTGCACCGGGGCCTTTGCTCAGGCCTCCAGGATGCTGTTTTGCTCGGGGTTTGATTTGTCCCGGGAGAGAGGGGGATAGAATTTTTTCCAAAGTTGGAGAGAGAGAGAGAGAGAGAGAGAGAGAGAGAGAGAGAGAGAGAGAGAGAGAGAGAGAGAGAGAGGAGAGAATTCATGATTAGAAACTATTCCTTGTCTATTTCACTCCTGAAGCTTTCAGAAGTAATGAGAATTAATCATAAAACAAAAGAGCAGACACAAGGGATGCAGTTTTCATCACATCCGCATGCCCCTCCTTTCCTCCCCCCCCACCCCAAACAAACAAAAAGCCTCTATTTTGTTTGAGGACTCGGGCTTGAAATCTGGCTCTACTACTTAATAATTATAAGATCTAGCCACCGGGGGCCCCACCTTCCTTATATATTATGTAAGGGCGAAACTACCTGTGCCTAAGGAGTGTCGTAGTAATTGACAACTGCTGGCAACGGTTTTATCTGTTGTATGTATAACTACTATTTCCATTTGTAATCTCGTTCATAATCCTTTTGCTTTCAAGATGCTAGTTTTTCATCTTTCATCATTTCGACATGCTATTACTACTCAATACCTGTTATTCACTTATGCATACATTTCTCAACAAGCTTTTTTTTTTTTAAAAAAAAAAAGCACAAACCAAGCTCTGTGCCAGAAAGAAGTCTGTGTAAATGATGCTTTTGAAATTGATGTATAGTTCTACTGGCAAACAAGTATCTGGTCTGCTACTCCTTGGAGTGTTTATTTTCTGTGCTTTGTCTCTGGAGTTAGGTCAAAGGTAAATTAAAACAATGTCTTATTAAAAATTGATAACAAAATAACATATTGAATTGAGATTCTTTGTCTAATATCATAGGTTTTTGAAAAGTTTATTATGTAAAGGAAAAAGTATCAGTCTTTTTTTAGTTTGATTTTGTTGAAATAACAGCCTTTGCATATATTGTGTTAAAATGTAATGGCAAAATTAATTTTGATGTTTGTTTTCATTTTAAAAAGTGTTGTTATGAAAAAGTTTCAATTAGAAAATTTGAAACATGTGGCTGGCATTGTATTTTCTTTGGGCCTCTACCATCCTGAGGTAAAGTTTCTTAAACTGTGGGTTGCAACCTCAAATGAGGTGGCATCATTTTAAAAAGTTTATTTTAAAAATAAATTTCTTTATGATTTTTATAAGTATTTGATTTGTATTTCTATTTTATATAACTATTCCTGGGGTGAGCATCTTTATATATCTTTATCTTTACATACCTGTATGCCATAAGTAAACATCATTCCAAATAATGATGGATAGAATTCATTGTCACTTAGCTAGAAAACAAGTTGGACATTTATTGTTTAAGTACCTCATTCAAGCCCTGGCTTATAATAGTGGTTTAATAAGTATTTGTGAAATGTTGTTTGTGTTTGATCACTCCTTAGCAACAATCATCTTAAAGTAAAGAATATTACCAAGTAATTCAATTTACTGGAATAAATCAAGGGTGAGCAACCTGAGTTTTAAAAAACACTATCATATTATGTGCCTTTTTTTTTTGGTCACACCTGGTGATGTTCAGGAGTTACTTCGACTCTGCACTGAGGAATTACTATTGGCAGTGTTGGCAGACCATATGGGATGCTGGGGAACAAACCCTGATTGGCCGCGTGCAAGGCAAATGCCCTACCCACTGTACTATCACTCTGGCCATCATAGTATGTACTTTTATGATGTAGTTAGTACTTTTAAGGAAAACATTTTTTTTTTTTTGCATTTTAATTTTTTTCTCTTTTTTTTTTTTGACTTTGGGTCACAGTTGGTGGTGCTTAAGCCTCACTTCTGGTTCTGTGCCCAGGAATCACTTCTGGCGGTGCTTAATGTAGTATATGGGGTGCTGGGAGTCAAACCCTAGTCAGCCATGTGCTAGGCAAAAGCACAAGCTGCTGTACTATTGTTTCCATGCCTCTTTCTGTAAAATTTTTAAAATAAAATCTCTGCTGCTCCTTAGTGAAATTGCTTTATGTTTTTTTTTTCTTTTTCAATTTGTTTGCAAATGTGACAATTGATTGTCAGAGAAAAGAGGATTATTTCTAACACTCCAATATAATAATGCCTTGCACCCTTTGGACTTACCCATGTGTCCTCACTTAAATTTTCTCCCAATGACTTATTCTCGAGATGGATCATGGATTAGATATACTATTCAGAATATGTAAGAAGGACAAGACAGGAGCCAGAGATCAGGTGAATCACCAGTCCATACCAAAGGTGAGGACAGAATGCCAGAGAATTCAGTAGCCTCGCTACTGATCAAGCTGTATACCATTGTTGAGTGCCAGTCAGAAACCGAACCTGTCCCTTTCAGTCACATAAATCAATCTTGATAGACAAATAAACAAGGCCTTACATAACAGTGCTTTGCCTCTGGAGAAGAAATGTAATATAGTGTTTGATCCCCTCCTTTGTCATTGTTGTTATTTTGGGCCACACCTGGCAATGCTTAGGGGTTACTTCTGGCTCTGCACTTGGGAATTACTCCTGGTGGAGCTTGTGGGACGAGTGGAAAATCTGGGTTTGTTGTGTCCAAGATGAGGGCCCTACCCGCTCTACTTTTGCTCCAGCCCCTGTTCCCTTCATTTTAATTGAAGTGCTGTGACTTACAGTACCATTATCATTAATGCATGTGTAATTCTATCATCGTACCCACGATCAGTGCCCACTTCCCCTCTGCCAGTGCCCTATGAAGTCCTCCCATTCATCATGCTTTCTTCTTCGAGATAGTATAAAGATCAAAATTAGGAATTAACTTTGGTTTTATCAAAGTTAAACCTTAGTGATCTATTTATATTTTTTCGGGGGGATGGGCATTGAGCTTGGGGAACACACCAGTGGTGGGCAGGATCTGCACTCAGGGGTTACTCCTGACAGGGCTCAAGGGACCTTCTGGAGTGTGGGGGATTGAACCTGGGTTGACCGTTTGCAAGGCGAGTGCCCTACCCACTGTACTATCATCCAGCCCCCTAAGGCACAGTCTTTATTCTGAGTTCATCAGTTTTTATATTGTTTTCCCCCCTTTATTTCTTCCTTTCTAAATATCTTGATCATGGTATCTTCCCTACCAGCTAAATATTTAGTGTCCAGTCTGGGATTCCACTTTGCACAGATCATACTCTTTGACCTCCTCTGCGTAACATTTCTTCAGTCTTTCCCTATATGATAAATGTTTGATACTTTGTTGAAGAATACTTGCCAGGTACTTTGTAGACTACTTTTCAGTTTGCCTGTCTAGTGTTTTCTTGTGATTTGATCAAGGTATTGTTGATTATAAGGCAGAATACCAAAGAAAATGTTTCCTTGGTATATTGTGTCAAACTGTGTGTGATGCTGAAAAGTGATATGAATAATAGTAACTTTGACCACTTGGCTTACATTGGTATCTGCTGGATATCTCAATGTAATATTTTGAGTCAAACTTAATTGCACTTTCACATGCCCCCAATTCCTTGTTAAGGGTAGATAATTAATAATTAGTAGCATTTTGAGTGAGAAAATCTCTGCAAGTACTTGATGCTTTGCATATAGTAGTTACTAAGTGGTACCTGTGGTCCTAGGAGGCAAGTGCCAATTAGTAAATTACCCTCCTCAATTCACTTTGTACTTACCAATTTAGATATCCTCCCTTCATCCCTTTTCTATATTAGTAGAAGAAAGGATCTTTTTTTTTTCTCTATCCAAGTCTAATTCTTGTCTGTGCTCTACATTCTTTCCATTCCATTGATTTGAAAATTTTCTTTCATTTCTCATCTTGGTAGATGCCAGAGATCACAGAGAGAACTAGAATATAAGAATAAATAAACTTTTATTTAAGTCTGCCACATTCAGACTTGAATAAAGTCTTTAATGGCTGTACTATCTTTCCAGCACACCACATGCATAATTTGCAGTTTTTCTTTGCTCTTGTTTCTTAGACTTGTCCATCGTATTTGACTTATTTCAGAGATTTCAGTATATCCATGAAACCTCAACAAATAAAATACTGTCCATAATTGGTATAGACTATGAGTCTAAGGTAAATACCAAGTTCAAAGGGTTGAAATGACAATGTAAAATGTCTCATTAACAAACCTTCATGTTGATTACGTATTGAGATAGTCATCTTTAAGATATTTTGAGTTAAATAAAATATGTTCTTAAAGTTAATTTTACCTGTTTAATCTTGTACTTGGCTATTAGGAAATTTAAGATTATATATATGGCTCATATTACATATCTTTCAGTAATATCGAGTTGTCCTATTCCAACTGAACTTTAATTTTACCCTTTAAGTCTTTTTTTCTTCTTCTTATTGCGGTTACAGACTTTACAGTAGCGATCATATGTATGCTTTTGACTGCTTCACACCCACCAACAAAGTGGCTGTATCCCATCACTACTGTCTCTAGGTCCCTTGTCATCTGCCCCTCCCTCTCCTACTCTGTTTTCTCATTTCTGTTTGTTGCTGGCCAACTTCTTGTTGGCAATTACTTGCATGGTCTATATAAAGATAAATGATAGGCTAAAAGAACTTTGAACTATCAAGACATGCTACATAAATTCAAAGCTTTGTGTACTGCAGATGTTGGCAAAAACTGAAACCATTTATTTCTGAGTTGCATAATTTGAAGCAGTTACCAAAAAAGATACTTTATTTTCTAAAAACTTACAGTGTTGGGCTGGAGCAATAGCACAGTGCATAGGGCATTTGCCTTGCACTCGGCGGACCTGAGTTCAATTCCTCTGCCCCTCTCGGAGAGCCCGGCAAGTTACAAAGAGTATCCCGCCCGCATGGCAAAGCCTGGCAAGCTGAATTCAATATGCCAAAAACAGTAACAACAAGTCTCACAATGGACATGTTACTGGTGCCCGCTGGAGCAAATCGA